TTGATTGTTCTTTTTTTGATTTACAGAAATAGCCTCTTCTCTTATTTTATCCTCATGGAGAAATGAGGTAATTTGGTCCACGTGGCGTTTGCATGTAATACCATCGCCTAGTTCAACTAAAAATGTGACTAGTTACAATCGCTTTTTTATTCTTTCTCGAGTCCTCTTATTCACGGCATTCTAGTTTCTTTTAGAAAAAATTCTTTTCAATATCAAATAAAGTCTTATTTTCAGTTGGCCTCTCCGCTTCTACCCAATTTGTCACCTTCCTTAATATTTTATTTTTCACTGATTCAGTGACCACTTGTTTATAATTCAACAAAGTCATCCCCTCTTCCACATAGTTAAAAGCTGAATCAAATACCGGAGTGTGATCATTTAAAGGCAATCTTGATAAGACATCACAGTTACCGTTTCTAGAGGACCTTACGACTTCTATACTGTATGTGAAACCCGAAAGATAATAAGCCCATCTTTGTAATCTATTTTGAACTGTGACAGATAGATTTTTGTATTTTCCAAAAATGTATTTCAAAGATTCATGGTCTGTTCTGAGAATTATGTGAGCTCCATAGACATACTGGTGAAATTTCTTGCCAAAAATTGTGGCAGCAGATGCTTTATCAATTATTGCCCTATGCCTTTCAATTACCGAAATTACTTTCGACGAAAACGCTATGGATTTTTTTCACCATTCTTGAATTAATGAGAAAGGATCGCTGACAGTCCATATTGACTGGCATCGCATGACAGGACTAATTGTTCCTTTGGATCAAACAATGTAAATATCTTATCTGACACGATTTGCTTGATCAATTTGAAACTTTCCTCACATTCTTAGGACCAATACCACTTTTCTGACTTCAGCAGATCATAAAGACAACTCAGTTTATCAGGTCTGTGCTTCAGAAATGATTCATAATAATTCACAAATCCAAGAAAGCTCCTTAACTGTTTGCAATCTTTAGGCCTTGAAAAACCCGTAACGGCAATAACCCTACTTTCTGCTAGATGATTCCTTGTTTATCTAGAACAAAACTTAAAATATCCAACTTACTTTTTAAAAATTCATACTTTCTTTCATTTATTTTTAGCCTGCGTCATTTAAGCGCCTAAATATTTCGGTTTTGATAGAAATGTGCTCTTTATGTGTTCTACCTGTACAATAAATATTATTAATATAAATTTCAGTGAAAGGAATTCCCTTAAGTATTTCCATTGAAATTTCCTGACATTTTTCTTTCTTTTCACTTCGCAATTCCTAATACTAAAATACTATTACAATTACTAAAAATTGCCTTAAACTATCTATAGAATCAGCCTCATCAAAATCCACACCTAATGCTTTTAGTTTTAAAATCAAGTCATGTTTCTTTAATTCATACACCCACGAAGTATTTTTCTTCATTACATTTATCCTCGACGCCAAATGTTAGGTATTTGAATATTAAAACACAAAACTACAATATTAGTAATCACAACTCTTTTATTCATCATAAAATGTTACACTTCAAGGTTACTACAACTAAATGTACTTATTTGTATTATCAATATATCATAGATACCATATCCGTTTTATTTTATCTGCAGCTGAAAACAGATCGCCCGAAAATAAAAATAAAAATATCAGGATATCAGGAAAAATAAATTCAAAACCGCACAAAGACACAGTAGCATAAGATATAAACTCTTGTGTCTAACGTCTTAAGCTAATATAAACAACAATGACATCGGAAGAAAGAGTACTCGAGCCCGGTGTGATCAAGTTGAACACTGTGTAATCAAACCCAGTAAATTTTTTTCTTTCTTTTATAAGAAACTGTTGTAGTATACCCCAGCGAAATTTCTTAAATTATATTGCTACTCATTTATCTAATGCATTCAATGTGCAAACTACATTTTAATTTTATATACAAAATAATATTATCAAAAAAGTCTATTAAAACAATTAGTGAAGCTTTATACTTCACCACAAAAGTACTGGTACTTTTACTGGAGGGGGAGCTAGTCCGGGTCACATGGTCCTTTGATCTATCTTGAGGATGGCGCCGCATACTCACCTGAGTGGGAATCGTCAAGATTTATTTGCCTGGGCCACAAAGAAATAACAATTAACCAACCCAGCTGGAAATCGAACTCACAATGTTCAGAACCGGGAAATCTGGGACCAAGGCCCCAACGTGCTCAGACATTCCGTCCTCACTGTTAAAGTAACGATTTACTTTATTATTGATTAGCTTAAATACCAGATCACCAATTTCGATTACGCACACCTCTTTCACTTTCGATTAATGTCAGGTAGACGTAGTCTTTTCTGCATAGGAGCACAGAATTTATTGCACGGGAGTCTTTCTCGACGTTAAACAGGCGTTTGATAGAATCTGTCACCCGGAGCTGTTGCGCAAACTCCGCAAATTCCTACTCCTACATACTTCCTCATTATTCGTTCCTATTTTACTGATTGTTACTTTAAAGTAAATCACAAAAAAAAAACCCTATTCTTCCCTTTTTTTCCCCTGCCTGCTGCTGTTCCTCAAGATAATATCCTAGTTCCTATTCTTTACACGTTTTATACAGCTGATATCCTAACTCATTCCAACATTGTCATCACCACGTATGACACATGTGTCCTATCAGTTACTAATGAACCATCAATGACATCTCAAACTCTTCAATCAAACATCACAATTCTTGAAGACCGGTGTCAAAACTGGAGAATTAAAATTAATTTCAATAAATCCCATCAAATCACCTTTACCCTTCATCGTAAACCTATGAGTTCCTGTCCTACAGTATCCTCTAATAATGGACTCCGCTTGGACAAACGTCTAACTTGGAATCCTCATACTAGTCTGAAACGACAAGAAACCGCTCGACGTTTCCATCTACCTCAGCACCTACTAGACAAACCCTTCCAATTAATTACAAGATACTCATATACAAGACTGTAATAAGGTCTATTTGGACTTAACAACGATGAGCTTTGGGGCTCCACTAAGCCATCGAATTCCTCTCTTATCCAATCCGAAATCCTTCATAAATCGAAATACTTTATCCCTAATAAAATCATCCATAACCGCCAGAATATTCCTGAGATTTCCGATTTGGCCAAATCCAAATAACTATCTATCCATGATAAACTTCTAAATCACCCAAACCAAGTTGTATCGAGCCTTGCTTTCTCTTCGATCCCTGATAACCCTCTGAGGTGTCTGAGAAGAAGATGGGCTCGGAACCTTATAATATAGAACTGCAATTGGAGTGTTACTATGGATATTTTCTCTTCATGGTGTACATGTCATATTACCAATTCAAATTTGCTTGTATATTTTAACTAATACAGTTGTGATTTCAATAAATATATTTTTTTTTAATTGATTAGCTTGCGCCAATGTAAATTTAATTGTTACTCAATAAGATACAACTATTTCTAAGCTTAAACTAATACATAATTGTACTGATAAGATCAAAACCTATTAGTTTGGTGCAGAAGGGACTTGGTAGTTCTCTAACTTACTAACAGTATAGAAGTCTATTACTGAGAAGCTATATCTAGATGTATTTTTTATTTATAAAAAATAATGGAAAGTTTCTTTATACATTAACCAAAGTACCCAAGTAATTATAGAACTATTCTCTTTCATTTACCTTTTCAATAGATTTACAGTTCGTCGAAGGCTATCATAATTAGCTGATTTTAATTTTTAAAATCAAAATAATATCCCATGGCAACCACATTACCTATAAGCCTTTCGGCAACAGTTACGATTTATCTAGAAAACGCTACATTTTAGCCCTTTAAAATCCAGGGTCTGTTATAGTTCTAAAGGTCTTGATTTTCGTGTAGAAATATTTTTAAAAACACGATTTATCCCGACTCTATCCGCTCAATTTTGAAACCATCTGAGCTTTGAAATCTCCTAATTTCTTCGACGTCTTTGACTGTTCTATTAAGGTTTAACGTTCTGTAATTGGGATTTGTCACTTTTCCATAAAATTTTCATTGATTTCATACCTCATTCATCAAACTCCATCGCTCCTAAGAGCCGAAAAAAATATCTAAATTAGCGTATTATATATGTATATATATTGTAGTGTAGACGATTATAACCGATCTAAATGATTTATTCTTAAGCTATAACTCGAATTATAATTGTAAACAATATCCAAGTTTTCTTAACTTCTGCGTAGTTAACAAAGAGGTTTTGCTACAATATTACTACATTACGTTGACATTTTTAAACTAGTTTTTCGAATACTGTATATTGGGAAAAGCAGTATTTATTTTATTTTTTTTCCGGAGATGGGCTCTTACCTTGGAACTTTCCGGAGAACCTTATTTAGTCACTGAGTCGTCCAACTTGTGCTCTGAAATATATCAAACCATTTATTGTCTTGGAATCTTTCATTCCCAAAATTGTACACCTCTTTCAAGTAGTATTAGTAATTAATTATAACCAATTTGTATTTAATTAGACAAGGTGAAGATTGTTTCTATAACAGGAATGACGGGAATATTCATTGTTTGATATCATAAACCAGAAAAAAATCCAAATGTATTCTTCTAATATTATTTTGTATATATAAGTAGATAAGAATTTAATTCGGATCTTAGTAACGTACGATGTCTTAAACTTAAATACGGTAAAATACAGAACAGACTTACCTTGCTAAAACAATCTCAATAATTATATTCCTTGATGTCATGGTCGTTACTTGTATTATAATGACCCACATAGATTAAAAATTTATTTGCAGGGTAATATTGCAATATTCTTCGTCTTTTTATCAATAAGTTGTAAAATCTCTCATTAGACTTACCATCATAGAAAACGTTTTGTGCTCGAAATTGCTGATATTGATGTGTCTTTGCCTATCACGAAAAAATTAAATGAGCTCTTTTTCCTAATATCTAGATATATCATGTCTATTTAAGTCAGAGTTTTTTTTTAGTTCCAAATTCAACATTAGAAGGTTCTACCAATGGGTAGTTTCTCTTCATGTTGTACATGTCATGTTACCAATGTCACATTTACTTGTTGTATTGTAAATACAACAAGTAAATGTGACATTGGCCATGGTCACATGGTACATTTACATGTACAGTTGTAAATTTCATTAAAATAAATAAAAAAAAACATTAGTAGGTTGGCCGCATCGTGCTAGAGTATTATTCTGTAATGCACACTTTAGGGATTATGGAGAAGCAATGGAATTCTTCTTATTCTTCCTTTGCACATCAAGGTGGGATTGATGAATAATTTTATTACTTCTAAACCAGGAAGGAGAAGCTGTCAAAGTAAATGAGTGAAAAACTCCTCAGATGAAATAATGCTCTAAGGAGCTCTAGCTGTAAGATGCTAAATCTGACGGAATATTGGAGGTAAAAGAAACTGTAGAATTAGGGTAGAGTTTAAAGGTACGGTTCACGGATTTCTTGACAACAAGAGAGCCAATAACTTACTTCAGTTAGTCAAAAACTTCTAGAGCCGAGTCGAAATTGTGTGACTTATTTCAAGAAAACTTTCAGTCATACGACGACATAATGTCCATCATCAGTATTCAATTTGCACTAATATGCAAACTAAAAGATGGGCATTTTAAAATGATATCCATTGGAGTGGGGGAATTCAAATATGCTAACATTACATTATTTTGAAAATGGATTGTTTCAAGCCAACATGAAACTGCTCACCCGCCAGATGCCAAAAACGTTGACTGCCTAAGGAGGCGTTACACCTCAAGAAAAATTCACGAAAAAAAAGAAGAAAAAAAAAAAGAAAAGTTCACGTTTTTTTCATCCGATGGCGCACATTTGCAAATAAAAAGGAAACAACTATTCTAACGAAGATAATTATTATAAGCTAATTTGTAGTCCATTCTGTCAGCTTAAATTCCAGCCCCGAAAGAGCTTATTTTGTTCATTTAAGAAACTATGTTAAATAAAATAAAATAATTTATTATTTTAAAGGAGTAGGATACATGGATGTAAGAATGGCTATGAATAATAAGGGCTACAAATAATTGATAAAATAAGTGAGCTAGAATGACCTAAGTCATTTATTGTGTTCCATCTTTTTCGTAGACGCCTTTTCCGTCGATTAAGTGCATTTTCTAAAGAACCCTTGCAAATATGTTAAAAATTAATGGGTGATTTCGAAAGAAGAATATATTTTGTAGCTAAATGCTTTATCCTAAGGCGTTTTTCGTTATTGTTGGAAGTTTAACTACAAAAGGCGCTTTATTTTGAGGCGCTAATTTGAACGACTTGAATGAATTTCGTTTAATGGTATTTTTTATTGCCAAGGCCAATTAGTTTTTTGATGTTTGATGTCTGGCTATCCAGCTTTAATAAAAGACCAATTATGATGAAATTAAGCCAACTGCTCAATCTCAATGGGAGATAAACCAACTCAAATCAATGGAATGCTTGGACGACGTCTAAGGACAGTGCGACCACATTTTTTTCTGAGACCATTGGCTTTTTTAATATAAAGTTATAAGGAACACAGCGATATGAATTTTATTGGGGTGTGAGTGGGAGGTGCACGTAGAGGGGTTTGGAAAACGGCCTACCCTCGTCCACTAAAACTCCCCCCCCCCTCCCCACCATCGCCCCTCCTTTAAAATCTGAAAATGAATACATGTTTTAATGATTCATATCAGACAGGTTATTTAAGATAAAAGACGATTGCATATCATAAAAAATGGCAAATAGTTTTTCAAAGTTTGAAAATCAATAAAAAATCTGTATCTCAAAAACTATTTAATTTTCCGAGCCTGTTATGGTCCTACATTGTAGAATATTTAATCTAATTTAAAAATGTATAGAATGTTTTTTGTCAAAAACGTGCTCCTTCGTGGTTATAATGGAAAATAAAACGAAAACAATGCTAAAAATTAACAGTTTTTGGAATTTTGCATCTCAGTCACATCCCATACAAGAAAATAAAAAGAAACAATTCAATGCAATTTACGATGTACAAGGTTACTGGGCTATGAGCTCGGGCGCGCTTGTATTCCTTTGGTCCCTCCATTCCAACTATTTTCCGTTACGATCTCTTATTTCTCCTTTAGTTAATTATCAAATTCATTCATATAATTAGTTAACTTTTTTTTTATACCAGAGTTAATTGTTAAATGGTTAATTATTTCAAATAAAATATAAATGCTGGATATGGACATTGAATACAGTGCATGACTAAAAGATTTCTTCAAGTCAACTACAAAATTTTGACTCGGCTCTTGGAGTAGATGAACTGCTCGAAAAATGCCATGTTCCGGATTGCTATATGTTTTCGAAGAATACATTTTCTCTACACTCACTTAGATCTTTTTTATCGAAAAGATTAAAGAGTTGTAAGTGATGAAGATTAGCTAGAGAGCCATTGGAATGAATGAATGCTGCTAGATTATTGCTTGTCTGCCTTTAGAGTACAGAAGTTGACGTACAAGAGACAGAAAGAAGAAAACTCCCTCATGAAGCCAGTATTTGATCGAGCTGCAGAAATTATTGTAAAATTTCACATTTATTCACAAATACATATTAATGATGATTCCGTGAAAGAAATAACGATGAAAGACTTTTATTTTTTCACGTCAGTTGGAAAATTGTGAACGTTTCATGTATAATATCCATATTGAAAACATAATGTAATGAAAAATACTTCCATTGTCATATTCATTTTTCTCTATGATATTCATTTTTTGACTCAAACAGAGTTAAGAAATATGCAGAAATATTTATTTTGTTGGTCAGTGTAATATGATCAAGAAAAAATACTTTTCTTTAAGAAATATATTATCTCTGGAGTACACTACTGTAATATAATTTCTTTCGGACCCTTTGTATGCCAGCCAAAAATGTAAATCTGTCATCTTCCATATTCAATATAATTGATTATCTATGTGTCAGTATCAAACACAAAAAAAGGTATTTTATTACATACTTATTTAAGTCCAATACCAGATCAGTAGTTAAAGTATATACAAGAGATGTATTAAATACTGTACAAATTTTGATCAATTTCTTTCCAATTCACAATAGCTAGTACACTCTAAAAGACTTGTATGCCACTAGGACAAATGCAATTGAGGGAATAGGATGCTGTTTATTTCATAACTATTACAAACACACTATATAACATACAATTTACAGGTTAATATAAATTTTTGGATAGTACATTCTTTTTATAATAATATTTCTATAAATGCTTAAACCATTCTCTATGCAATATCATTCTCATAATTTTTATTATTATCTAGCGTACAAAACTAATATATACATATATTTATATTGTTATACTGACGTGCTTAAGTTCTTGTAGGGCTTGGGCTATAGTAGATCACAGCCATGTCAAGTGTCAAGAAAAACCTCATAGGCCGCCAGTCTCAGAAGAAAACTCCCATGCATGACATGCACCCGTTAAATTTATCAATACCCTTAAAGGATTTTTTTAAACATTTTGCAGCATTTTATTTTACAAAGATCCAAAATAATGGACATAAAATACATGTACAGATGGTGTAACAATTTTCAGTTAGTGTTCAGATCAAGCTTACTCACATAATTACATTTTATAGACAAACATTTAGTGCAATATATATATATATATATATATATATATATATATATATATATATATATATATATATATTATATATATATATATATATATATATATATATTATTATTATTATTATTATTATTATTATTATATTTTAGCACCATTTACCATGAACCATAAATTTCTTGCAACATGAGTTATTTTAATTTTTTCTTGTTCAAACATGTTCCCTCTAGTAATGAAATATAAAAAGTCAATGATCTTAATACTGTTAAAAATAATACTTAATATTGTTTTGTTTTTTATTATTATTATAACAAATTGTAACATATTCAACATTAAAGTTTACTAAGAATAACGATTGATAATCTCCAATAATATTATCATAATTTATTTTAAATTAAGTAAACATATTAAAAAAATTCAATATCTAAATATTTATTTTCTCAATCATGTATTCTCTATTCCCGTATAATAAAACATAAAAATTTATTTTTTAAATGGCGTAACATCCTGTTTATTCAATTACCACTGCTAAACTCTATTTATTGGATGAATAGATGAAAAGACTTAACATACAATGAAATCAATTATTTATTCTTACAAACTTTTTATAAAAATTGAATGTCTAGTTCAATTAAAACTGCTTCATAAATAATTATAACAAATGAAATCAATATGTACATTTATGATATGTTTTATCAAAATGACCAAGCTATAACATGCGAGTATGTCATTCACTGGTGGTTGAAGGTTGATTTCAATGAACTCCTTAGCTTCTTCTACGGCAATATAAATGTTTGTTTTTTTACAACCTGCTAAAAACTTACCTTGACTTTAACTTTTTATAAAATATGAGGCGTGGTTTGCCATTCACAGATTTCTTCAGGCAATTATATGTACCTTGTGATACAGTTGATAAACAGTAGGTCTTCAAAACAAGTAATCTGATAATGGATGTTTTGTAAGGTTCGTAGCTAATATTTTCGTAAAAAAAAAAAAAAATCGTGTTTACGAATTATTGGTTATTCGCCGTATCTATAGATATCATCTAAAATTCATTTTTAAAAATGTAATAAAACATTTATAAAAATTAAATCCTATTTTATAAGTACACTTTTTTTTTATAAATACAACTTTCTTAATCATTGTTGCATTTTCATTTTGTTTAAAATATAATATGATTAATACACAGTATATCCTGAGTTAATATTATAAGTAATTATGTCTTGTCGGATTCATAGTGTGTAAACATAAAAAAAATATATTTCGAACTCATGGGAAAAAATCATAATAAAGCCCCCTTTTACAAGTAATATTTTTAAAAAATAATTATAATCAATTCTGCTTGTTCATTTTGTTAAAAAATAATTCTTTTATAATAAAATGTAATTAATTTACAATATATTCCAAAATGCTACTGGAAGTAACTATATTTTGCTGAAGTCATAATCTGTAATCATAAAAAAAAATATTTATTAATAATTAATCTTCTAAACTCCACTCCAGATTTATCACTGGTCTTTCAAAGTACTGAATAAGTTTTATCAAAATAAAGTATATAATTCATTATTA